CATCATCATCATCATCATCATCATCATCATCATCATCATCATCATCATCATCATCATCATCACACATTAAAGTAGTATAGGGCTGGCGGCCTGGACCTCTCTGACTATCAAATTACAGTGCCGTTTAGCAACAGCCAGCTTCACCACCAGCCGGCAACAAATTGTTCGAGTTCCTCCAGCGATTAGACTGAGCTCTTCGACGCCCCTTCCCGCATGTTGTTTCGCTCCTGGCCCGGCGATGCTGCAAGGGCATCTCAAAGTATCCATTCATATCATATTCCAAAAATTATCAAAAATGGCTGTAACTAGTCAAAGTGAGTTCAGGTGAATAGACGTCAACCTACAACTACAACCAGAATTTTCAAAAGTGCACACATTGCTTCTGCGAGTTGAGAAGCGTTTCACTTGGGCTTTGTTGTACACCGGGTTTGACATAAAATGTTGTGATATGTTTTCTAGAAGGGGTTCGCCCTCCCCATTCTACAATAGGGGAAATGGCCCATCTACATGTTTGGACCGAGCACAGGAACAAGTGTCCGTGCCAACGACTCATATACGACTGCACGTGACAAAGGCTGCCCCGGCTCCTGCCAAAAGGCCAAATCCACGTTGCTCCGCTCCTGCACTCCCAGCCGGAAGACCTTGTGTCCCGAGCGAAGGCAGACCGGCGTCCCGTCCAACTGATGGACCCATGGGACTCCTAGTCGTGCTAGGTGAGGAACCTTTTCAGACTTGTCAGATCTTGGTTAGGATGGGAAAGCAACATGGAGCTGTGATGTCCGAACAATGATGCTGAATCAAAAGTAAAGTAGCATTCAATCGATTAAATCGACAACATCTCGGCCAACAACTGAACTGTAATTTCATCGAATGTGTGTTTATTCTTGTAGTGAGCTTCTTTTGACGGGAGTGGATTGACCCGAACGAACCGCAAGCTCTGAGCGCCTGCCCCGGTCCCAAGGAGGATGAAAGCCAAGCTCTTTCTCGAGCCTGAACAGCTGGGTACTTTGGGACTGCTCTGAGCACCAATGATCATGGATTCTTACGGAATCTATGCATTGCAGGCATTTGCCAGCTACATCCAGCTACCGTGAGTGGTGTGCTGCAAACCGAAGAATTGTGTTGTCCAAATCCCAACACCTCCCAATAATATCGGCGACACGGGCTGCCCTTGAACACACACGCGCGCCCATACACGCAGTCACACACGTGTATGACAATGTTCTCTGCCTCCATCTGGCTCACGCCCCATCCTCCCAGCCCAGTTTCATGTCTCGGTATGTTCTACCTAATTGCTGCCAATGTTGGCCTTTGGTGGCATGCCTTTCAAACTTCACAGCAGGGTTCTGCTTTGCTCGTTTGTTGCGTGCTTTGTGCACCTCATGCCAGTCATGATGAACGCGGCAAATCTCAACATGAGAAAAATACTCCTGGCAGGCACTGCAGCAGGCCAGTTCTTTTGTTAGCCAAGGATGATGTTCATTGACCTCCTGAGCTAGTGCGCTCTTCAATATTAGCGGGATTCGGCTGTTCCTGAAAAGAGGAGAACTGCAATCGTGCAAGAATAACTGGTAAATAGTGTAGACATACATGTATATATATATATACAGTATTCGTATGTAGTCGTTGTTGTGTTAGGATGGGCACACCGTCCTTCAAATCTTCAAAGGCCATCCAAAAGATTGACATCGGGTCATCCATCAAAACGCCTGAGCAAAGCAGGAGGCATGGAGTTGATGCATGAGCATAGGATTGGGCGCAGGGTG